CTTCAAGTCCAGCGAGATTTTGAACTCGGGGATCACGATGTCTGATTTTCCGGCCAAGAATGTCCCAGAGATGCTCAATCGGATTAAGATCCGGACTACAGGCCGGCCAAGGAAGAGTAGCAATAGCTTCTTGACGCAAATGAGCCAAAACTGCCAGAGATCTGTGTGGTCTAGCATTGTTGTCCATGTAACAGGTCTTGTCTGAAGAGGATGGTTGTCAAAATGAGGGACTACCACTGGCCGAAGAACGGCATCTTGGTATTGTTGGCCATTCAGGTTTCCACGAATTGTCACCAGCGGAAGTTTGCAGCCGAAGGAAACACAACCTCAAATCATGACAGACCCCGCCACATGCTAAGGTTTTCTGGATGTTCCTTGGTGCAAAGCGAGTGTTACGTTGCCTCCAAACACATATTCAACCATCAACAGTTCGTAGCAGCATTCGACACTCGTCAGACCAATGGATCGTTCTCCAGTTGGCCAAGTTCCATCGACTACGGGCACGACAACATATCAGACGATTCCGCATGTGCCTCTCAGTCAGTTGAGGACGTTTCACTGGTCTTCTGGCGTTATAACCAGCCGCTCTGAGGCGAAGCCTTATGGTCATCGTCGAGAGTCTCTGATGGGTAATCCACTGCAGTCTTAAATCTGTTGAAGTGGCAAATGGATTTCGTCTGACTCTCCTGAAAAGACGTCTATCCTCTCTGTTAGAGGTCTTTCTTGGCCTACCAGACCTATGCCTGTTATTGACATCATTGGTTTTACCATGTTTGACATTCAAACGGGTGATAACACTGTGATGACGACCCATTTGTCTTGCAATGGCCCTGCATGACATGCCAGCATTTTTCATGCCTATCACTTGCCATCATTCAGCGTTTGTTAACTTTCTCCTCACCATGGCTGTTTTTCAACCTCTATTGGAAGGGGAATCTCACACAGGAGCAAAATGCAACCACGTGTCTGAAACTTGAATTTCACTATTTATAGGGTAGGGGAACTGTAGCAACACGTAAAGCACGCTTTCCTTGTGGTATCCCGACAAATTTGGGTTCATGAAACTATGGAAGCCCAATTCAGTCATACATCATCATATTTCGTATTTCTGATTCCCACAAGTGAAATCAAGAGACTATGAATATGGTGGCACTTAACTTTTCTGCATGTGTATATTAGAAGCACATAAAGAAGACTGTAGAGGTGTTGGACAGAATGCTATCAGGGAAAAAATATATTAAAATTGGAACATTATTGTAATCAAATGCCAGTACCGTACGTAATTTACGCCGACTTCGAATCTTATCAAACCTATAGAAAATACTGACCGAAGCAATAAAAAAACTTAAGATAGTTTTACATACAAAACTCAAGAACATATTCCATGTCGGTTTGGATATATAGTTGTAAGGTATGATGGGAAAACAAACCCGCCCGTGATTTACAGAGGTCCCGATGCAGCGGGAAAGTTCCTTTGAATTGAATATCTACAAAACGAAGAGAGAATAACCAGGGAAAATATATCGCGTAAGAAACCCATGTGTATGACGAGGGATGATTGGAGGGCCTATAAGAAGTCAATGAGTTGTCATGTTTATAATAAACCACTCAATGGGGATTCAGAATATCCTTACGAATATATGGATGATTGGTCTAGATTCGACAAAACTAAATTACCACATCTTGAATCATTCTATAGTAACTTAACAGAATCTAAAATAACCGATGCCGATTATGAACACGCTCTGACGGTGTGGGATAAATTAGGTTGTAAGAATTTAGGCGATTATCACGATCTGTACTTAAAAACCGATGTACTGTTACTCGCCGATATATTCGAGATATTTAGAAAGACATGTTTAAAACAATACGGCTTGGACCCGGCATGGTACTATTCCAGTCCCGGACTATCGTGGGATGCATTGTTGAAGAAGACCGGTGTAGAACTAAAATTACTCACCAATTACGATATGCACTTGTTTATTGAGAAAGGATTAAGAGGTGGTATATCAATGGTGGCTAAAAGGTATTCTAAGGCTAATAATAAATTAGTGGAAGGATATGATCCGAGTAAACCCGACATGCATATATTATATCTCGATGACAACAATTTGTACGGATGGGTTATGAGTCAACCTTTACCCACGGGTGGTTTTGAGTGGATCAATGTAAATGATATCGATGTACCACATTTGATGGATAAGACAAAATATATAGTTCACTTCAGAAATCTCCAGTTATATCTATCGTTAGGTATGAAACTAAAGAAAATACACTGAGTTCTAACATTTGATCAAAGCCCTTGGATGGAGCCCTATGTAAGACTGAACACAGATTTAAGAAAGATGGCTACCAGCGATTTCGACTCAGTATTTGGTAAAACTATGGAGAATCTAAGGAAGCGTGTTGATGTTAAATCAGTCAGGTCTAATGAGGAAGAAAGACTCAGGAAACTTATAGCCAGTCCGGCTTTTAACAGAAGCAAGATATTCGATAACGACTTAGCGGCGCTGCATATGCAGAAAAGTAATATAAAATTCAACAGACCGGTGTACGTTGGTATGAGTATTCTTGACTTGTCAAAACACTTAATGTATGACTTTTATTACAACGAACTTAAGAAGCAGTACAACGATAGATGCGAGGTGTTTTTTAAGAATTGACTTTCACTTTGTGTGAGTTCATTGGAGTATGAACCTTCATAAAGTGAGGGCCAAACTGTATGAACGTCGGAGCTCTCGTCCAATGGAAAAGCCGTATATCGTGTAAACTTCAAATTAAAAAATTATATACCGATAAAGATTCTTTGATGATGGAAATACAAACCGAGGATGTGTAGAAAGATATGGCAGAAAAAATCGATATGTACGATACGAGCAATTACCCAAAAGATAATCCACTGCACAGCTTAGTAAATAAAAAGGTATCAGGTAAGATGAAGGGTCAATGTGCATGTGCAGTGCGGAGTATGTCGGATTAAGACCTAAGATGTATTCTATAAAGAAGTTCAAAAATGGAGAGATAAGAAAAGCTAAGGGTGTTAAGAAGTATGTGGTAAAAAAGCATATCAAACACGAACAGTATAAAGAAGCATTATTTAACGGTAGAACCAGGGGTCCGGAAAATTTAAAATCCTAATCGGAAATTTGCCTTTAGGCCACGCCCCCTTCAAATAGCGTATTTTAGTACGACTTTTCACACACATTACAAGTTTACGTATTCATAATATGATGAATTATGAATTGTTTCAATTTAAATTGTTTAATTCATCGGACAATTAATAACAAATAATATCATTTTAGATATACATGGAAAACATACATACGTTTGTTTCTGTTATAATAACGATCTGTTAACGTAGTGAACGGTCTAATTAATATTCATGAGTTATATTCATGAGTCTGCTCAAGTGTACGCGTTGTAACATTTGGATCGAGACTATTATCCCATATTTGGTTATCACGTGACCTCATGGGAAAAGGTTTTTTTTAAACTAAAGATTTTTTAAAAACAAGACAGATAATTTAATCACAAATACTAAAATATCGTTGATAGCAATACTTATTTGAATACTTTTTTCATCTGTACTTAATTATTGACCATATACAAATTGGATATCGATCGTCCGAGAAAGCAAAATGGCGGTCAATCAAGATTCAATATACGACTAGCTCCTGAAAACAATAAAATCTGCAAATCCTCATTGTATGTCAACCAAGTGAAAGTCGTTAGCCATGACTTACAAAATGATCATCCGGACTTTGACGGTTTGGCAGATCCGCTCGACTGATCTGCATCGGTCGACTGGCTGTCGTCACGTTTTCGCTTCTTGTCTGAGGTTACCTATCGTAGTATTGTGAGGATAATGAGGTACATCGATGATGCAAGGTATTTATGTACAGTTGTAAACACCTTTCACTCAAATTAACAAGATGTTCTCAGTAATTAATCCTCGATTAATCAGTGTCAACTCAGTTTATTGCCTATTACAGTGATTGACCGATTGGACTATCATGTAGGTACGATGTATTTACAGCAATCAAAACAAACAAAGCTTGTCAGTGTAGTTAATCTTCATTGTGTTGCAACTGCAGACAGAAACTGCTCAGTCCTAACTGATCATGTCCGGTCAAAATTTAAGAATGTCCGGACAATACTTTTTAAAATGTCCGGTAAGCAATATTTTAAACCGGACATTTGAGATTCCCAATCGGACATGTCCGGCGCATATGACGGTTTCCGGGCCCCTGGGTAGAACATTCAAACACGAGATGAACTCCTTAAGAATTGTCAATCACAGGATATATGGATTAAGAATGAACAAGACATCATTATCCCCCTTAGAGATGGATTGAAAAGGATGGTGTAACTACCTATGCTTATGGTTATGCGTTTTGCCTGATTTCAACATCGGGCTTTGTTAATGGTTTAGTTACTGATCCCATAAACTCGCAACCACGATCTACTTGAAATAACTTAGGCCATTTTAGTGGTCCGCGTTTATATATGCAGCTCAGTGCATTAGCTACTTCTGTTGAATCATTCAAGGTTAATGGCTCAGCCTCTTTGTACCGACCAGCCACATCCACTACAGTTAAAGCGTATTTATATGTTTTGCGTCTTACCTTATCATGGGGAAGAAACAAGATCAGCCTGATGAACTTCATTCGTTGTAAAAATATCAAACTTCTTCCTCGGTATATAACGCGGTGCTGGTAAGTATATTTGTCACATCGCTTGTTTCTTTAACCAATCCTTGGCCACATCTTTAGATACCTTAGCTGCAGTGGCTAATTTTTTTATTGCTCCTAAACCTTTCCAATATCCTCGTGGGCTATAGTAAATTTTATCCATTATTAATTAATATTGATGATTCTTTTAATACGAATCATGACGATCGTTGAATCGCATCATCATTTTTGCATAAGTAATTCCCTCTGTTTTAGTAGTATAGGTATATAAATCTGGCTCCAGTGGGGTTTCGGCAGAATCACCATTACCTATACTACTTGACGTGTGGTTACTGTTGGACCTTGGATTTCATCCTTGGATGTGGCTCTCCTTGCATCTCACGTTCAATTTGTCTTGCGCTCTGCAGAAGATCCCCGAAATCCTCTCCTGAGTAAAATGCAGGTCAGGTAGCATTCTTTAACGTCTAATGAAATAATCCACTCCAGAATTTATTTCTCAGAATACTATCTCTTGATGTAGCATCTTTGTAGCTTCCTCTATCTGTGGCTCTCTGTAGTAAAGCTTCCAGTCTATTTCCCCATGTTTCAACTGATTCAGATTCCTGGTGACGAGTAGTGTAGAAAAATGGGATTAGTGATTCCGGATTATCCACAGTGCCATATAGTCCTTCCAGTTTCCTCATGATAGTGTCAACTGTAGCCTTCTCACCTTGTGAATGTAGAACACTTGATGCATCACCTTTGAGGGACTTCCTTACAGCCTGAGACAGAACAGCAGGCGGGTAGGCATCATCTCGAATAAGGCCTCTCACTTACCATTTCCAAGTTTCAAAGGATGACTCCATTTTCGGTACAGGGATTTCTCTGGAAAAGGCTACTGAAACTGGTACATCTGCTGGTTGAGAGATCCTCTGGATAGGGTGATCTATTTGTAGGGACATGCTGATCATTGGTGTAACCAGGTTGAAATCCTAGAGGTCTTGGTGTGATGGGCTCCCTTTTATGTACTGGGGTACATACGTTGATCTTGTGAAGCAAGAAGGAAGGGGGTACAGGATGTATGTTAGACCGGCCAGTAGTAGTGAGATATGCCAACATCTTCTGTTCGTCTTCCTGTGTTATGGGCTTGTCATCATTCCTGTTCTCACCTCCAGAAGCCATGTTGCTCGTGAAGTACGGATACAGTACTGAAGCCAATATAAAATAAAAAATAATAATACAAACTTGTGTAAACACAAGACCAACTGCCAAAACAGGAAGAGCAAAGAAACCAACACAAACCAAGGATGAGAAAGCAAACTAATATCACCAGATCCACAAAGGATACCATGTAAACCGAACGTCAGTAAAATGTACAGCATACGACAGAAGAGAAAATGTAAAGCAATCAACAGTGAAAAGCAAAGTGAGGTAATTACCAATGACGAGGTCAGGAATTGTGTCACCAGTCATCAAAAGAAAACACAGTATGAAAGCTATTTGATTTCATTGAATAAGATTTTCTATAAACACGGAAGCAAAGTACATGATGTAAGAACAAGTTACATAACCGGATGTAAACACGTTAAGCCAAAAAAAGAGTTACATAACCTCATGTAAACATATGAAGTGAAGGCAAGGAACGCAAAAAGTGACCTCGTAAACAAAAGCTTTGTTTACATTAATAACTGCTAATGCCGGTGGTTCGCGCTCATTCTCTTTCACGCAATGAAGTAAATACTAAAACTAATGCTAAGTAAATATAGTGAAGAAATTAAATGACAAAGGCCAAGATGAAACTATTATATAAGCAGACATATCATTTATACAGATTGTCTAATTGTCTTCCAATATCTAACACTAATATTATTTACTAAAGCTAAATACTAATGTTCATCTTAGACTAAGTATCAACTAACTAATAATAAATAACTGCAGTGTTAGTCGATACTTGAGATATCTACTATATGGATTTATAAGAATATATATATACAACAGGACCTGGTGCGTACAAATACTAGTAAATAAATATAGCTTGTACGAAAGCATAAACATACCGTATAAATACCACAGATTTCCACAGCATACACATTTTCAACATGAAATAACAATCACTACCGGTAGATGTCAAAGTTCATCTTTGAAGATTGTGAAAAACTGTCAACATTGCCGGAAGTGAGTACATGTGGAGATATCACAATGCACACTTGCCTGAATATAATGTCTATCACAGTCGTCTTTGAATATCACAGTCTGAATATATATGATCACAGCTTGACAATGTAAATTTATGATTATAAAATCATTAAAATGTCAAAGTATATAATCAAAAAGTCTGAAGATGATTCAGGTGATATGGATGACATGGTTGATGACGATCACGTGGACGATAACGACTTCGATGTAGATGAAGGGATAAATCGGTCGTGTTGATGTTGTGATGACTTTGTAAATGAAGTTATGGCTCTACCTCAGTCCCTGTTTGGGCACAATACTGTCGCGGGTCCTTCCCGAATGATAAAATTGAGTGGACTAAGGCGGTGAGGATGGTTTAAAAGGATTTATTGTCTGTAAAAAGATATAAATGGCATCAATATGAATTGATGTTTAGTCGAGGGAGCCGGAAGGACTTCCCTTGGCACGTCCCAGGTATGTGCACGAGCTACAGCTGGTAAGACAACCATGAGTAAGAGTGAGAGATGAAGCGTACATAAAATGAAATAGAGATAACTCACGGAAAATAACTTTAAATGTATCCGGCGACACCAGACAGAGATCATATTAGATGACTAAATATTAGCCGAGACAATGATAAGGATAAGATCTTATGAAAATTATTTGAGCTCACATTCTTGTATCACTTAACGATGCACTGTTTGGGACCCAAGCTTCAATAGCATATATTCACTGAGTTGAGATAATTGAGACTGGGTATTCTCTGTTATTTTGAAAGTGAATCGGGAAAGGCAGTTGCACGCTGGCAATTGTGTTCAAGAAGAACATTGGGAAATGTGATATTCGTATGGTGATGTCAGGTTATAAATTCAAAGAAGACAGCTTTTTTCAACATTGCTGACACATGTTGAAATGTTGAAGAAGTTGTCAGTTTGGATTAAGCCCCATAGAAGTATCCCTAAACTGTGCTAGAGAATTCATCCTCCTGCTATTCTTTTGACCAGCTTGGATGACCTAGGCTATGTCCAGGCTTCCAACACTAACAAGGCAGCTGCGATGTTTCCGCCTACAGAAGATGCTTTTGTAGCAGGGTACCTTTATCATATTCTTCCTAGTTATATCATTATTCATACATCATCATCATGATCATCTATATGTTCAATGTTTGTCTTGTCTACAGTTGAATATCAGTCAATAACTCTTTAAACAACTCAACACCCTTATTTTCAGTCTCTGGGAATCTCTCACCAGATCTTCCCCTTCAACCTTCTGTCTATCTTTAGACATTTTTCACACCTGTAGGGTTTCCCTCAGTCTATTTATATCTTGCATTAAGCACTTCCTTTGATGCTTAATGCAATCTGTCTTCTAATTGACCACCCTGGTCCTCTACAGGTAGCTTCCTTCCATACCTGACTTCCTCCTCACTTCATGTGCTGCTGTTGAGGAGGAAGGACATTTTCTTTTCTTCAGGTATGGAATGGCCACATTTCAATCTGTTTTCATCTGCTTCTGTCAGGAATTAATATCTATATTAGGGTGCTGAATTAAATTGAATAATATATATAATATCATTTAAAGTAATATTAAATTAGTAAATGGAATATTGATATTATAAAACTTGCTTGTAAAATAATTAACCACATGGTCCATTTTGGCCCATGTGCTTTTCAAGTGTCCTATAGTGAACTTATAACAGTAATTTAACATTAAAGTTAGTTTTATCATAGTTATAAAATGGCTTTTGTACTTATATATTTAAGATAAATAATACCTGTGAACTTGCAAATATATGACTTCATGTGCTGCTGTTGAGGAGGAAGGACATTTTCTTTTCTTCAGATAGTTCTTCAAGAGCAGCCACCCCCTTGTAATAAACACATTATCATCATCTGCCTGTGTCTGTGTTTCCCAACGGCCCGAGCCGGATCATTACCACTACCCTGGCTACAAATTTGGCACCCAACGTGGGGCCGTTGGCTGTCACTCTGGACACAGGCTTCATCAACTTCATCGTGTTCTGGGGGTAATCCTTCATGATTGTTGAAGGATTCTTCGTTGAAGGATTTGGGATGTTTCTTCCATGCAATTTGTGGAAGCTGTGTGTGTAACTTTGAGCTATAACTCTGACTATAATTAAATCTTGATCTGCAATCGTCAGTGACACACACTTTGTTATGACGTTGAACTTTTCGTCTGCATCAATGTTTATATTGAGGTGCTTCCTCCGATTCCTTGAAGTGTGACTTTTATTTTAACTGATATACATGTATTTGTCGTTTTGTTCACAAATGAACTTTTGATCAGTGAACCGTGACCATGAACTTAGTCTACATTCTGAACCAAATTTTATCAGAATGTCATTAGTTGACTGATGTTTCATTGTATATACATGTATGCTTGATATGTTCATCACCATTACTTGAACATTTTGAAACTTCACATCTTGTCACACTTGTGATCATCATATTTTCCACTTAGGAAGCATTTTGACAACTGTAAAGTTGTACAGCTGTGTGACCCACTTGTTGCCATTCTGAGTTACGATTGCGGAATTCTCATTTAATTAAATTCTTATTTAAAATCAACCTATATCTCTACAGAATTTTGATGCATTCTATTTATACTCAGCTTTAACTGTGATAGTAAATGTGTGATATATTATAATTTTCATCCTCATTTAATGAAGTTTATTGAATAAATTTGCAGTTAACTGGTATAAGCTAAGCCATTTAATTTGTTGCTGAGGAACATAAAGCCAGAACTGCTTTTACGGTTGGTCCATTAGGATTTTACGAGTGTAACTCGATGGCTTTTGGTCTCACAAATGCTCCCGCAACTTTTCAGCGTCTTATGGAGAGATGTATGGGCGACATCCATCTCCTACAGTGTCTCATTTACCTCAATGACATCATTGTGTTTCAAAGACCTTTGATGAGCATCTGGAGAGATTACGTGCAATCTTTCTTCAATTGCGCAAGAATGGCCTCAAACTTAAGCCCTCTAAGTGCCAGTTCTTGCAGACCTCTGTGAAATATCTGGGTCACGTAATCTCTGAGGAGGGTATCACGACAGACCCTGAGAAGATTGAGGCACTGGAGACCTGGCCAGTTCCACAGAATGTGGATGACGTTCGTCGTTTCCTTGGCTTCTCTGGATATTATCGTAGCTTTGTGCCAAATTATGCCACTTTGTCATGAGGTATTGAACTGTGTTTTAGCGGTTGATGATTTCGAGTCTACCAATGTTGGGACTGATCAGCAGATGCTTTCTTGTCAGCAGGCGGACCCCTCAATCTGCACGATTGTGGACCTTCTCCGTAAAGATCAGCGCCTTTCAAAGGAGTCTCTTAGGTCATTTGATCGTGACACAGCTTCAATCCTCAGGCGGTGGGATGCTCTCTCCATCACTAACAATCTCCTTTATAGGAAACAGAAGACTACAGAAGGTGATTATCCCTACTTTCAACTCATTGTCCCTTAGCAGCAACGAGAATCCGTCATTACTCATCTTCATGACGGGATGGGCATCTGGGTAGGGACAAGACTGTGGCTCTCCTACGGGCGAGGTTTTATTGGCCAGGAATGATGGGAGATGTCGAGAACCACATTCGTAGCTGCCAGAGGTGCATTCTTCGGAAAGCCCCTAATCAGAATGAGCGCGCACCATTGGTCAGACCACTCAACCCATGGAAATGGTGTGTGTTGACTATCTCTGTCTGGAACCTTCATCTGGTGGTTACGAAAATGTTCTGGTCATTACTGACCACTTCTCCAAGTATGCTGTTGCGATTCCAACTCGTAATCAAACAGCGTGAACAACAGCGAAGGCCTTGTTTGAGCACTTTATCGTACACTATGGTCTCCCTGAATGGTTACATTCAGATCAGGGACGGAATTTCGAAAGTGACGTTATCAAACAAATGTGCAGCATACTTGAGATACAGAATACAAGGACAACTCCCTATCACCCCATGGGAAACGGGTTATGTGAACGGTTTAACCGGACACTTCTTGGGATGCTCGGGACTCAGCAGGATCAGGAAAAGGCACGTTCGAAGGACCATATTGCTCATGTGGTCCATGCCTATAACTGTACCTTGCACGAGCCTTCTGGTTTCACTCCCTATTTTCTCATGTTCGGCAGACATCCTAGACTGCCTGTTGATGTTGCCTTTGGCACATCTCTCGCCAACACTTCATCGCCATCTTATACGCAGTTTGCTGCTGATCTGAAGCGCAAGTTGACAACTGCTTATGAGCTCGCTTCTCAAAACAAGGACAAGGCCCGGGCCAAACAGAGGAAGACTTATAATCTGAAGGCCCGTGGTGCTACTGTTAAGGTAGGTGACGTCGTGTTGGTCCGAATGTCAACATTCTTGGGAAACAGAAGCTTGCCGACCGATGGGAGGAAGATATCTATGTGGTGGAATCACAGCTGAATTCTAATGGTCCCGTGTTTAAAGTCCGCAAGGAAGGCACCAGGGAGCATCGTGTACTTCACCGCAATTTACTCCTTCCCATCGGTTCGGATGGCCGTCCCATTCCTAAACCTCAGAGCCCTCCGCCTTCTCTAGTGCCTGGGGGTTCTCCATTGGGTCAGCCGGTTGAAACTCATTCGTTTCCAAGGTCACCACCAGCTCAATTATCTGGTGTTCCCTCTTCGACGACGCCATCTCTGATGTTGCCGTCACTTGAGTTGCCTTGAGGAATTTCGACTTCCCCAGAGCCTTCCAGCCCTTCCACTTCTGTTGGTCCAGATTTATTTTCGGTCACCCCCACCAGTGGTTACAAGACCTGGCAGGTCACGCCAGAAACCAAAGTGGATGACTGACGGTCAATGGGTGGTGAAACAGAACATGGTTTGGGTATATGTTTGAGGACATTTTATTGCTTTCTCAGGTTCAATTTTCTGCAACCTTTTGTTATCCTGCTCCTTTCCTTGGCTGGTCATCTGTTTTCAGCTGTGTATGGTTAGGGCACCATTTCCCAAAAGGGGGGTGCATGTAGTATAACTCTGACTATAATTAAATCTTGATCTGCAATCGTCAGTGACACACACTTTGTTACGACGTTGAACTTTTCGTCTGCATCAATGTTTATATTGAGGTGCTTCCTCCGATTCCTGGAAGTGTGACTTTTATTTTATTTGCCTGTGTCTGTGTTTCCCAACGGTCCGAGCCGGATCATTACCACTACCCTGGCTACACTTTCAAGCAACACATGGTGAGAGCCATGTTTCAGACGACAATATGGCTGCAGATACATCACTCATTTCATCTGCAGTGATAGATCATATGTCGTCTCCAGAAGGTGTCCTGGTCTCATGCCTGGATTGCCACGTACTGAACACTGCACCTGCTCTCGTTGTCAAAAATTTGCACATGATGATGAACCTGAAGGCTTGAGTGACAGTGGCTGTGGTGGCAGTGACTAAATGAATCTTCCTATTTTGGAGAAAAATAATGTATTTTGTTAATGAGTTACTGACAATATTGAAGCAATTGCATACAAGTGTTTGTTTATTTTGTTTATTTGTTGTATAACACCACACTCACCAATACTCCAGCCATATGACGGCGGTCTGTAAATAATCAAGTCTAGACCAGACAATCCACGCAATTGCGATACAATGACATGCATAAACCAAATTGACACTTCAAAGTAAATCAATATGATCAGCAATTATAGTACATAACATAGGTGATAATTATCTTATATATGTCAATAACACGATAGATGGAGTTCCTGGTCGAAACCTAAATTTTGACATTAAAATTTCTTATACATTCCGAAGTGAAGACGAAAAGTGAAGACGAAATATTGTCATTTCCCTCATTGGCGGGCATCTTGGAGGGCATCTTGGAGGCCATTTTGTCCGCCATATTGGATAAATCAAATTTATGAAGCTCTTATATAAATATGTAAGATACTTAAATGATTCATGTGTTCAAATGAAACAATTTGGTGTACAAGAATGTTAGTGTTGTCATAGTAATTTAGTTAATATGTAATGATATATTTGTTGTTTTGACAGCATGTGACAGTTGGCCTCAAAGGCATTTTTACTTATGGTCGTACAGTGACTTTGTTGACGATCTATGAGCCTCAGAAATGGTCTTGGCTACCCTTCTACATTAACCCTGGGCAACAAGTGATTTCTGTAAATGTGCCAGAAGCACAGATTGGGGGGTTTGGGCGAGCAGCTGGAAGCGAGGTTTAAGAAGAAGGTTGGAGATGGCAGGGATGTGTCTCGCCCAAACTGGAATGTTAAGTGAATTGATCAGTTGAAAAAAGTTGAGCGCCAGAGACATTAGTGACATCGAATTGGTGGAGCCCATCTTGTTTGTGTACCAG